GCCAACAGTTGTTTCACGTCGCGCGCATTGCCGCATTACTATGCGCATCATGCGCTTTATTACTCCCAGTACGTGTCCAAATCAAAACTTAACGCGCGAACGCTGTCTGCGGGATGGCCCGCGGCGGCGTCACCCCGCGCGCAACGTAGCAGCAACCAGCGCCGCATTACTCGTAATGTGTATTTCCATGGAAACACGACGCGCCAACATGGGTGGCGCGATGGCCATGAACAGTTTCATGTCGCGCGCAATGCGACCTCAACATGCGCCAGATTCTCTCCAGGGGGAATTCACATGGAAAGTTGCCGCGCCAACGTGGAATTCATACTCAGCGGTGCCATTTTTTTCGGGAGCCGTGGTTTCCTGCCGAGTTAGTTTTGCGGAGCGCCGCGCCTTCCTCGAAAAACGCTCTTCCCCCTAACCCCCTCCATGGGGGGGGGGGGCCCGAGCAGTTGCTCGTCGGGCCTAAGGGCCCCCCTCGCAATTGCTCGTCGGGCCTAACAATACCTTTCATTTTTTATTGGTCCTGGCGCATTCGGGCTCGTCGGGCCCAAGGGCCTTCCTCGCAATTGCCCGTCGGGTTTGCATAGGCGCCCTCACGGCTGGCGGGGGTGGCGCGCCCGCGCGCGGCGCGCGGGCGCGGCGGCGTCATCCCGCGCGCAATGTGGCGCCAACATGCGCCGCATTATTCGTAGTATGTATTTCCATGGAAACACGACGCGGCTCAATCCTTAATGCGTTTATATTTGCTGTGGCTCCATCCGTCATGGGCTTTAATAACGGGTGGCCCCATCTCTGCCAGGATTCCAATAGAGGTGGCTCCATCACGAATCGGGTATTTTTCGAAGTTGCTTCATTCCTAAGAGGATTATGCTAGAGGTGGTTGCTTCCCTATTAGGATTACAGTCGAGGTGGCGCCATCATTGCTCGGGTTCGATCAGGGGTGCGGCTCCATCTTTACTTGGATTTTATGAGGGCTGGCTAAATCTCAAGTAGGATTACCTTCTAATTGGCTCCATTCCTGACGGATTATATTACAGGGTGGCTCCATTCCAATTAGGACTCTATTAGAGTTGGCTCCAGCCGTTCGAGCATTCAATCAGAAGTGCCTCGACTCTCTCATAGCAGAGGGGGTTCCGGCTCTGATTTTTTTTGGGCATTTTATGAGAGGTGGCCCCATCCCTACTAGGACTATCTTAAAGGCGATGTTGTTCCTAAAGGGTTCTATGAAAATGTGGCTCCACCTCCCAAATGAGTTTTTCAGAAGTGGCTCCATCCCGAGTACGATTCTATCAGAGGTGGCTCGATCCCTCATAGGATTCCGTCAGACGCTGCTCCGCCCCTCGTTGAGGTGGTCCACCCTTAATCTGAAAGTTTGGTCATCCATGAAGTTTTTTTCGACGGCCGTGGCTTCCTGCAAAGTTCGTTTTGCGGATCGCGGCTACATCGTCGAAAAACAATTGCTCCTTACCCCACGCCATGAAACCACATTAAAAATGAAGAAGCGGCGCAACCGCTTTTTCTTTTTTTTTGTTTTGCTGCCCCGGGCTTCGCGCTCGCTGCGGCGGGGGCTCGCCAGTTTCACTTCGGCGCCCTAACTGGCGTTGATCATGGGTGTCTTCATCCTTAACGGACTCGCTTGTAGGTGGCTCCATCCCTAATTGGATTCTGTTAGAGGTGGCTCCATGGCTAAGAGGATAGGCGGCTCCATTCCTACCAGGATTTAATAAAGGGTTACTAGAGGGGGTTCCATCCGTACTGGGATTGTATCAGAGGTGGCTCCTAGGACTCTGTAAGAGGTGGCCACATTCCTCTTCGGATTTTAGAAGTGGCTTCATCGCTCATTGGCTTATATCAGATGAGGCTCCATCCTTAATTTTCACAGGTGGCTCCATCCCTAATAAGTTTATATCAGAGGTGGCTCCATCCTTAATGGGATTATATTTGCTGTGGCTCCATCCGTCATAGGCTTTTATCGCAGGTGGCTCGAACCGGAAACGGAACCGGAATTAGCCCCCCCCCCCCCCCTATCTCGCTGGCCACCCGAACCGGAACCATAACTGGAACCGGAACTACCTTCCCCCCCCGCCGGCCGCCCGAACCGGAACCGGAACCGGAACCCGAACCGGGTTCTCTTAGAGGTGGATCTTTGTTCAATTGGATCCTACCAGAGGTGGCTCCATGCCTACTCGGATTTTATTCTAGGTGGATGCATCCCTGATAGGACACATCAAAGCTGGATGTATCCTTCATCGGATTGTATCAGAGGTGTCTCCATCCCTGATAGGGTCCTCTCACAGGCGGCTCCATGCCCTTGAGGAGTCCATCACCGGTGGGTGCATCCCTCATGGAGTTCTACCAGCGGTAGCTACATCCCGATTTGGATCTTAGTAGAGGTGGAATCATCAACACTAGGAATCTATTAGAAGTAGCTTTTTCCACCCATTACTACTGATTCGAGGCGGATCCATCGCCCATGCAATTCTACCAGAGGTGTCTCCTTTACTAGTAGGCTTCTTTCAGAAGTGGCTCCATCCGTAATGGTTATGAGAAGTGGCTCCGTCCCTACAAAGTTTTTACCAGAGGTGGCCACATCCCAAATCGGATTCGATCATCCAGAACGGGGCGCGGAACCGGAAGTGGAACCCGAACTAGAAAAATAACCGGAACAGGGATATTCCTCCAGGCTTGCCAGCCGCCTCGACCTGGAACCGTAACCGGAACCATCACCGCGGAACCGCGGAGGAACCGGAACGGGAACCGGAACCGGAACTGGAACCGGAACCGGAACCGGAACCGGAACGGGAACCGGAACCGGAACAGGAACGGGAACCGGGGACTGGAACCCGGAACTTGGACCGGAACCGGAACCCGAACTTCCCTCCCCCGCCGGCCCTTCCACCCGAAACCAAAACGGGAACCGGAACCGGAACTGCTCCCTCGCCGCGGCCGCCAACGCACCGGAACCGGAACGGGAACCGGAACCGGAACCGGAACCCTAACCGGAATCGGAACCGGAACCGGAACGGGAACCGGAACTGGAACTGCCCCCCCCGCCGCGGCCGCCAGCGCACCGGAACGGGAACGGGAACCGGAACCGGAACCGGAACCGGAACCGGAACCGGAACCGGAACTGGAACCGGAACCGGAACCGGAACGGGAGCCGGAACCGGAACCGGAACCGGAACTGGAACCGGAACCGGAACCGGAACGGGAACCGGAACCTGGAATCCGGAACCTGGACCTGAATTGGAATCGGAACCGGAACCGGAACTCCCCCCCCCGCCGGCCCTTCCATCCGGAACCGGAACGGGAACCGAAACCGGAATTACTTCCTTGCCGCGGCCGCCAACGCACCAGAACCGGAACGGGAATCGGAACGGGAACGGGAACGGGAACCGGCCGGAACCGGAACCGGAACCGGAACCGGAACCGGAACCCCGAACCCAAAACCCGGAACCTGCACCGAAACCGGAACCGGACCCGGAACCGGGACTGCCCCCCCCCCCGCCGGCCGTTCGACCCGGAACCGGAACCGGAACCGGAACCGGAATTGCCCCCCCCCCCCCCCCCCCCCCGCAGCCGCCAGCGCACCGGAACCGGAACCGGAACGTGAACCGGAACCGGAACCGGAACCGGAACCGGAACAGTTCCCCGACCGTTGGGGTACTTACTGCCATGAGCTAAGGAGGACGGCAGAAAAGACCGAAGCAGAGCAGAAAAGGCCCGAGGAGCCAAGGAGTACGACAGAAAAGACCAGGAGCACGGCAGAATAGACCCGAAGAGTGAAGGAGCACGGCAGAATGGACCCCAAGAGCGAAGGAGCACGACAGAAAAAAAACAGGAGCACGGCAGAGTAGACCCCCAGAGCTCAGGGGCACGGCAGAAAAATACCATGAGCACGGCAGAATAGGCCCGAAGAGCGAAGGAGCAAACCAGAAAAAGACGAGGAGCACGGCAGAATAGAACCCAAGAGACAAGGAGCACGGCAGAAGATGCCCCAAGTGCGAAGGAGCACGGCAGAAAAAGACCAGGAGCACGGCAGAATAGACCCCCGGAGCTCAGGGGCACGGCAGAAAAAGACCAGGACTACGGCAGAATAGACCCCAAGAGCTAAGGAGCGCGGCAGAAGAACGACCAGGAGCACTGCAGAATAGGCCCCAAGAGCTAAGGAGCACGGCGGAAAAAAAATAGGAGCACGGCAGAACAGACCCCAAGAGCTGAGGAGCACGGCAGAAGAGGCCACAAGAGCGAAGGAGCACGGCAGAAAAAGACCAGGACCACGGGAGAATAGACCCCAAGAGCTAAAGAGCACGGCAGAAGAGGCCCGAAGAGCGAAGGAGAATGGCAAAAAAAAAACAGGAGCACGGCAGAGTAGACCCCAAGAGCTAAGGAGCACGACAGGAAAAGACCAGGAGCACGGCAGAACAGGCCCGAAGAGCGAAGGAGTACGGCAGAAGAAGACCAGAAGCACGGCAGAGTATACCCCAAGCGCTGAAGAGAACGGCAGATAGACCCCAAAAACGAAGGAACACGGCAGAAATACTCATTCTCTGCCGTGTTTTTTTTCGTCTGCCGTGCTCCGCCCGATGTTCTAAGGATGTCTGCAGCGAAAGCGCAATTTTTACATGAGAGGTAATAGAACCGCCTCTCCAACATATCATTGGTGTGAGGATGTCTCAGGCGATAGACCAGTTTCTGAACATATGTTAAATTCGCGGCTTCCCATGTGTTGGGGGATGTCTCTGGCGAAACGCTTATGTTTGGTATAAGATCGACGTTACGAACAGATGATGTCTCAGGCGAAATCACATTTTGGGGTCGTCTCGAGGGCGATCCTGGGGGTCATATTGGGGCTCGATTGGAGCCCTTTGGGGCCCTCTTGATGCCCTCATACGACACTACTCCACACAGGCATACAACCAATGTATGAGGCATAGAGAGTCTGAGTCTAAACGAGCTCTTAGTGTTAGCTCGCAAGCGCAGCACGAGCATCCGACTCAATCCGCGTATTCTGCGAGCGTGAGGGAGCGTTTGCACATCTCGTCCGGGGATGGTGCCTCTGAATGATCGTCGATGCCGAGGATACCCCCGACCGCGTGACCAACATTGCTCAAGTGGCGGACATAGAAATTAAGGTAATTTTCCCCGTCGCGCGTGCGGCCCCACGCCACCTTCAGCTCAACCTTGCCGAACCACCTCCATGGCTGGCGCTGATCACGATGGCTCGCCAAGTACCTGAAGCCATTCGTCTGCTGCTTATTGGCCCACGCACCAGTGATGTTGAGCGCCTTGATGTACATGTCGGTCGCGCAATGTGCATGTCGGTCGCTTCGCACCTCCGCACCCACGCGAAGAAGAATTTCATCTGGGCCACATTTTTGTGGAATATTGATGAGCACGTGCTCGCCAGTCCGTGCGATGTCAAAGCTCTGACCAAGCATGTTCCGCATGTGTGGGTCACCGATGGCGCTGCCGGATGCGTCAAAGAACTGCGTTGGGCTGATCCACTTCTCGGGTGTCCAAGTGGCCCAGCTGAAGGGGTTCCCGCTCAGGGTGTCCGAATTGAATGATTGGATCTTGGCTGCGGCGCGCGCCCTGATCGCGGATGCGGACGCCGCGTCGCAGCCGTACGTCTCGGCCAAGAAGTCGGGCAACTTCGACTCCACGATTTTCCGCCCAAGCGCCAAGCCAGCGCGGTTATCCGTCGCATAGTGAACGCGACAGAGAAGTCCAGGAGCCGCACCTCCTCGCGCTGCGCGGGGGTGAGGATGGCAACGACGTCCAACCACGAGGACAAGCTGGAGGCGGCGGAGTGCATGGCGGGCCAGGCCGGGTGCACAGGGCAGCCCTCGGTGTACGCGGTGAAGTCTTCGGCGCTGTTCACAGGCTTGGCGGCCACGAAATCGGCCATCATCTGCTTGACCCGCATGGAGGCATCGGGAAGCTCGCCCTGGATGACTCCGTAAGCGACCTCCTCGGGTCGCGCGCGACCGACGGCCCACTTGCAAGCGAAGCAGGCGGGCGACACCTCGGCAATCGCCCAACCGATAATCCTTCCCAAAGCTACCGGGCCGTTAACAAACTCGACACGGCTTGTGCAGCTGGCTGGTTGAAGATGTCGGGGTCCAGCGTCAACGACATGTTCTGCAAATAATCCATGACCTGCTCCGTCGGAAAGAACGGGGGGAAGTCAGCTCGGACGCGCTGGGCAGACTGCTCCATCGTATCCCCGTCGAAGAGTGGATGCACAGACATGATTTCTTCTGTTCTGCGGTTTTGAATCCTCAGAAGCTGGGCTGCCGCCACCTCCTCGAACTCCGCCCAAAATCTAGTCTTGTCGGCTGCGTCTGCGTCGTCCGCGTGCGTCGGCTTGAGTGCAACATTCGTGTCGAAATCCAAGTCGGCAGCGACTTGTGCAAACGAAACGTTCGCGCCCAAGTGGGACACAGCAGCCTGGACCTGGTCGTTACCGTGAAACCCGCGGACGCTGACGGCGGCGGTCTCCCTCAAGCTGTCGGAGGCTCCACAGCTTTTCTAAAACGATACTCGGTGCACCCGTCGTTGCCCGCCAGCGCCTTCTGTTGGGCGGCTCGCGGGCTGCCGTGGGATCCTCCGGCCCACAGCGCCACAGACGGCTTCACGATAGCCGCAGTCGTATCTGTGGAAGACAGGGATGCTCCGCTCTGGCTCTTGGGCAGCACGCGATCCGCTTGTCGGCGTCGGAGTGAGGAGTAGTACGCGGAGGGGCGAATCCAATGATCAGGCGTCCAAGTTGCCCAATCCAGAACCTCCAGCGACGCGATCTTGGTCTGCACGTGCGACCTGATCGCGGCCTTGCTGGCGGCGTCGCAGCCGTACTTCTCCGAGAGGTAGTCCGGCAACTTCTCCCTCACGATCTTCTGGCCGAGTGCCAGGCCGGCACGGTTGTCAGAATCGTAGTGAACGCCTGCGAACGTGCGGAAGTTAGCAACAGAGTAATCCAGGAGTCGCACCTCATTGCGCTGCGCTGGGGTCAGGAGGGCCACGACGTCAAGCCAAGTCGACAGAGAGGAGGCCGCCGAATGCATAGCCGGCCAAGCTGGGTGCACGGGGCACCCTTCTGAATAAGCGGTGAAAGACTCGCGCGCGGTCAAGCCCATGCCGTCCACCATCGCCCTGACGTTGGCCGGGGCCTGGCTCAACCCCCCCTGGCTGAGGTTGTACGCAACCTCCTCGGGCCGCGCGCGGCCGACGTACCACTTGCAAGCGAAGGCGGCGGGCGACACCTCTGCGATCGCCCAGCCGATCATACTCCCTAAAGCCACTGGGCCGTTCACAAACTCGACCGCGCTCGCGCAACTGGCCTGGCCGAAGATTTCCGGGTCCATTGTGAGCGCCATGCTGCCCAAGTAGCTCATAGCTCATAATCTGCTCCGTAGGAAACTGTGTGGGGAAGTCCGCACGGACGCGCTGGGCGGACTGCTCCATTGTGTCCCCGGCGAAGAGCGGATGCACGGACATGATATCCTGAGTGAGAGCCCCGTTCCTCCTCGGAAGTTGGGCCGTCACCACATCCTCGAACTCATTCCAGAACCGGGCCTGGTCTGCTGCGTCCGCGTCGTCCGCGTGCGTCGGCCTGTACGCGGCGTTCGTATCGAAGGCCAGATCCGCCGCAAGGTGCGCAAACGAAGCGTTATCTCCCAAGTAGGACACTGCGCGCTGGACCTGGTCGTTATCGAAGCCACGGACGCTCACGGCGGCGGTGTCAGCGAGGCTGTCAGAAGCTCCGCCATCCCTTGGATAGCACGCAGACGGGGCAGCCTTGGCGAATCGGAACGCGCTGCAACTATCGGTGGCCTCCTGGCGCGAGAGAAGGAGAACCTGGAAAAGTTGCATGTCCTGCGCACTGACGTTGTCACCTTGCTGGGCGCGATCTTCCCACAATACTTGGCCACGCACATAACAATTCAGCACGTTATGGATAAGGAATGCGCGGTGGCGTCCGCGCATGATGGAAGGCATGTGGGTCATCGTCGCCGCAGGGCCTGCCGCTGGGGACAATCGAGTGTCTGTGTATGCAGTTGTGACCAAAAATAGCTTGAGCCAAAATGATGCCCCCGAGTAACGTCAGCTTCGTGTTCCCAAAGCCAGAATCTGCAGTAACGCACGCTTGGTGTGCCAAATACAAAATTGCGCCAGGTTCGCGCTCCCGAGGCCAGAATCCCTCGTGATATATACATACACAAGATTCGCGCGCCCAAGGCCAGAACCCAATTGAAATACGCTAGATCTGCGCCCCCGAACCCAGATCCCGTCCTAATGTACGCCGCACTCGCCCCCCCGACGCCAAACTCAACTCCTTGCAGTTTGACCCAGATTCGAGTCCCGATTTAAGGATGCTAGAATTGCGTTCCAACAGCCACAACCCAGCGTAAACTACGACAGACCCGCGCTCCCGAAGCCAGAACTCCACATAAGTTACGCCAGATTCGCGCTCCCGAAGCCAGACGCCCTCTCTGTACTACGCGCCCAATTCGCGCCCCCGAGCCTAGAACCCTATATAAATTACACCAGGGTCCTGCTCCCGAGCCCGGAATCCCACGTAAGAAATACCAGATTCGTGCCCCCGAAGCCAAAACACCACGCAAACTACTCCAGATTCGCGCTCCCTGAACAATAATCCCTAGTAAAATGCGCCAGATTCGCGCCCCCGGAGCCATGCCCCCTGGCGAGTTACACCAGATCTCCGCTCGAGGCCATATCTGTCGTAAAGTACGCCAGCCCGTAATTTGCACCATATTCGCGCTCCCGAAACCACATTGTACATTGCTCCAGATTCGTGCCCCCAGTCGTACTGAAGGGCCGCATATGCATAGTATGAGGAGAAAAGTCTGAATACGTAACCAAGTGTTCAATAATCCGCCACCGTGCCTCTGGCCACGGAGTGGGCGCGTCCTCAATTCATTTGCCAAATACCCCGAGCCTCAGTCCTCAGTCTTGAAGACTCTTTTAGGTGCCCAGAACCAAACATCCCACCAGCCTTCTGGGCGTCGGTGGTTTAGAGCGTTTCCTCTTCCACCCCTCGTTCCTCCCCTTTGGGAAAGGGTTTACCCCTCCCCCTTACCCCCTCCCCTAGACCTGGACAGACCGCAACAAAACAGCTCCAAATGGCCAAAAGAGCTCCCCAAGGATGTCCCCAACAAGCCAACATGCTTCAACACCCAACGGAAAATCAATGTGTTTGGCGTTCTCGCCTTTGCGCTTCCAATGCCCATCTGAAGCCTCAACCTAGCTCCAAGATGTCCCAAGATAGCCCCTACAGGGGCCCAAGAGAGACCCAAGACGGCCCCAAGAGCACCCAAGAGCGCTCCAAAAGCGCCCCAAGAGCGCTCCAAGAGGCGACGCGGGGGGCTCCCGAAGGGCAACGCTAATTGCGACCTCCCCCTTCGGGGCCCAAGAGAGCCCCAAGACGGCCCCAAGAGCGCCCAAGAGCGCTCCAAGAGCGCGCCAAAAGGGGCCGAATTAAGAAACCATTTTCGGTGCTCCAGAAGGGGCGCCTTAATTGGTGACCCCCCCTTCTTTGATCGATCTCCTCCAAGATGGCCCCAAGAGCGCCCCCAAGGCTCCCGAAAGCGCCCCAAGAAGGGCCGAAAAATGCGCCCAGACGGTTCCAAGAGCCCTCCAAGAGGCCCCCCACTAGGCCCCTCAAAGGCCCCCAACAGGCCTCAAGACGATCCCCGAGGCACCCAAGTACACTCTTGTTGCCCGCGCTGCTTGACCATATGCCTTTTTTCCTCTCTCCCCCGTCAGCTCTCATGGGCATCGTTTCTGGATGGGCTGGTGGGGATACTTTTCCCAACCATCCTGTGGTGTCGGGTCCTCGTTTTGACGAGACAGCGCCCCGCGTTCCTTCCTCCTCCCGCTTCTCCCTCCCCCTCCTCCCACCTCCCCCATCATTGCCTCTGCTCTCGGTACACCCCTCAAACGTTTCGTAGCCTCAGGGAGCTCCACCGAAGGTCCCAATGAGGGGGCCCGCATGGGTCCCCCACGCCACAGCGTATCGTGGCCCCATAAGGGAGATCCATCGAAGGCCCCAGTGGGGGTGCCCGCATGCGTCCCCCACGCCCAGGACAGCGCTTCGTGGCCCCATAGGGAACTCCACCGAAGGCCCCAGTGGGGGTGCCCGCATGCGCCCCCCACGCCCAGGACAGCGCTTCGTGGCCCCATAGGGAGCTCCACCGAAGGCTCCAGTGGGCGTGCCCGCATGCGCCCCCCCACGCCCAGCACAGCGCTTCGTGGCTCCATAGGGATTTCCACCGAAGGCACCCGTGGGAGGTGCCCGCATGCACCCCCCACGCCCAGGACAGCGCTTCGTAGCCTCATAGGGAGCTCCACCGAAGGCCCCAGTGGGGGCCCGCATGCGTCCCCCACGCCCAGGACAGCGCTTCGTGGCCCCATGGGGAGCTCCACCGAAAACCCCAATGGGGGCGCCCGCATGCGTCCCCCACGCCCAGGACAGCGCTCGTGGCCCCATTGGGAGCTCCACCGAAGGCCCCAGTGGGGGTGCCCGCATGCGTCCCCCACGCCCAGGACAGCGTAACGTGGCCCATAGGGAGCTCCACCGAAGGCCCCAGTGGGGGTGCCCGCATGCGCCCCCCACGCCCAGGACAGCGTTTCGTGGCCCCATGGGGAGCTCCATGGAAGGCCCCAATGACGGTGTCCACTTGCGTCTCCCGTGCCCAGGACAGCGCCTCGTGGCCCCATAGGGAGCTCTACCGATTGACCCAGTGCCACCGCCCAGATGCGTCCCACCGCACTCAGTACAGCGCTTCGCGGCCCCATAAGGAGCTCCACGGGCCTCAGTGCCACCGCCCACATGCGCCCCCCCCCCCCTCCGACTCAGCACAGCCTTTCGTGGCCCCATAGGGAGCTCCACCGAAGGCCACAGTGCCACCGTCCACATGCGCCCCCCCCCCACCACCACCACCACTCAGCACAGCGTTTCGTGGCCCAACAGGGAGCTCCACCGAAAGCCCCAGTGCCACCGTCCACATGCACGCTCCACCCACAGTGCCACCGCCCACATGCGCCCCCCCCCCCCTCCGACTCAGCACAGCCTTCGTGGCCCCATAGGGAGCTCCACCGAAGGCCACAGTTCCACATGCGCTCAGCACACAACGCTCCACCAGCCCCAGTGCCACCGTCCACATGCGTCCCCCCACTCAGTACAGCGTTTCGTGGCCCCATAGGAAGCTCCACCGAAGGCCCCAGTGCCACCGTCCACATTCGCCACCCCACTAGTACAGCGCTTCGTGGCCCCGTAGGGAGCTCCACCGAAGGCCCCAGTGCCACCGTCCACATGCGGGATCCATGCGCCCCCCCCACTCAGCACAGCGTTCGCCCCGCCACCGAAGGCCCCAGCGCCACCGCCCAGCCCCCCCCCCCCCCCCCCCCCCCCCCCCCCCCACCACCCACCCACCCCCCACTCAGTACAGCACTCCGTGGCCCCATAGGGAGCCCCACCGAAGATCACCAGCGCTACCCGCCACATGCGCCCCCCCCCCTCCCACACCACCACTCCCCACACAGTACAGCGTTTCGCGGCCACACAGGGAGTTCCACCGAAGCCCCCAGTGGGACCGTCCGAGTCCGTCCTGAAACACCCAATTTGGCATTTTCACCCACCCATTACAACGTTTCGTGGCCCCACAGTGAGCCCCACCGAAGGTCCCAATGCCACCGTCCGCATGCGTCCCGCACACCCAATGTGGCATTTTCGCATACCCAGCGCAGCGTTTCATGGCCACACAGGGAGCTCGCCCGAAGGCCCTAGTGGGACCGCCCGTAAGCGCCCCGAAACACCCATTGTAACATTTTCAGACCACCCAGTGCAGAATTTCGTGGCCCCGTTGGGAACTCCACCGAAGGCCCCAGTGCCACCGTCCGCATGCGTCCTGAAAACCCAACGTGACATTTTTACTCACCCAATACAACATTTCGTGGCCCTTTAGTGAGCTCCACCGAAGCCCCCAGTGGGACCGTCCGCATGCGCCCCGGAAACCCAATTTGGCATTTTCACCCACCCAGTACAGCGTTTCGTGGTCCTATAGAGAGTTCCACCGAAGCCTCCAGTGGGACCGTCCGAGTGCGCCCCGGAAGCCCAAGTTGGCATTTTCGCTTACCCAGTACAACGCTTCGTGGCCCCATAGGGAGCTCCACCGAACCCCCCAGCGGGGCCGTCCGCATACGTTCCTGAAACCTTGTTTGACACACCACTCACCCAGAACAGCGTCCCCCCCACTCAGTGCAGCGCTCCGTGGCCCCATAGGGAGTTTCACCGAAGAAGATGTTCACAATTGCGGAACCCACAACTGCATATGGTTGGGTCCTTCGCCAGGATAATTTCGTGTCTGCATTC